TCAGGTTGTGGCTAAAGTTCAGTTTTTATCGTGGGGCCCCGAGTGTCTTCACTCGGGCCGCTGGTCTTAACTTGTCCAAGCTGATCAAAGCTGGTTATAAGCTGGTCAGAGCCGGTCCGAGCTAGACATAACCATGATACTATCAGCATAGGGACGGATTCCTTTGCCCGGCAAGTATCAGTGCGTGTAAACAACACGAGAGAGCGATTTACACACTCAATCAGAGATAGACCGTATGTAAATATAAAAGTGAAGATTGAAGTCAACACTCAGAGGCAACAGACTGTTTCATTCTAAACGCAATCCTCGGAGTGGCCTGAGCTTTTGACCTCGGCGATGTCCAGCTTATTACAAGGTCACCAATATGCGAATCCCACGTCTATCGGACTCGTTAAAAGAATTATGTCTTTCGAGACGATTCTGTTGCCATTGATCCGTTGAGATCCGCCGACGTATTTACTGAGCAAATCATTAGGTGATACAAATATGGATATCCTGTAAGTGTAGGACTCATTACAATAATCATTTTTACCAAGACAAGATTTCCCATGGCAACGAGCTCACGTGATAACTAAAGTCATCTTTGTACGGCACAATACGATAAACATGAGCACACAATAAGGTTAAGCGTGAATTTCAGACTGTGGATATGCAACTAGTTCACTATCACTTCCCAAAACGTCTTAGTAATTTTACGATACTAGAATCTTTTTTGAAAAACGCTGACGCATGTTAAAATTATCACAGTATTTAGTATTGATGAATATATCGCTAATATTTTTTGTCAAGGTTTACAAATTCTACTCTCCCTACAGGGTTTATATTTACAGTGCTACTACTGTACATTCTATTTTACCAGAATCATATTTATTATAAAACCCAGGTAGTGTGTGTGTGTCTGTATGTTTATATATTGGATCGGATTTCCTACATTTTTCAACCGATTTCCACAAAACTTCACAGGACTACGTAAAATTACCTTGCGGTGGTTCTGACAGCGATAAAAATTGGAAAAACACAATTGTTTTTGCACGAAATCAATTTGAAAACACGATTAAGAGGCATCACGAGAATGAAAGGGGGACAACTCATATCGAGTTATACTTATTATAAAACCCAGGTAGTTTGTGTGTGTGTGTGTTCGTTTATATATGGGATCGGATTTCAACCGATTTCAACAAAACATCACTTTTTTTTGGCAGGTAGTGTTTCTTATTGTCTTGCACACTTTTTTCTTTATTTTTACATTCAGAATGCTTTAAGAATTCCATTTACAAGGCAATTGTTTATAATAAGATTCTATTCAATCGGTAGATCCATAACGATTGAAAACAATGTTTTTGTTTGAGTTTGGATTTGACCAATTCGTAAAAAAAAAAAAAAAAACTAATTAAGACATGCATGTCCGTCAACCTTAAACAATAATCTTTGTCAATTTTATTTTTCAGTCTTTATGATGGTCGATACTTGATATATCTCTTAACTGTTACATCCACGGGCAACGCCGGGCTCTCCTGCTAGTGAAATATATATAAAATCTTAAAGAAAAGATATATAAGAACAATATTGAATTTTATTAAATAAATATTTGTTATTTTAATCATTAAATTGTTATTAAAATAGTGGGTGTCATTTGTATGTGAAATAAATCTTTTAATTTTTCCAAAAACTTAATCAAAATTTATTATACTAAGCTGCACAGCCAACTGTATTTTGTATCCTTTTGCCTGTTTGAAGTTGTCCCTAAAATGTGGTTTCCATCGGTTAATGTCTGGCTATTTTAAAGGGTGACACAAAACAGTCGGACTCTTTTTTGACGGGTTAACTCAAAGAATTTTATATATAGATTAAATAAACTAAGTAGTGAGAAACGATCTGCCTTCGGACTTAAGTGATACCGATTTTCCAAGCGTAGTTCAATTCATTATATATATATATATATATATATATATATATATATATATATATATATATATATATATATATGTGTGTGTGTGTATATATATATATATATATATATATATATATATAAAGTAATCCAGTTTTACCCTGAAGATCCGTTTAGGTGAAATCTGGGTAGGTTTGCCTGGCTTCTTAGGTTTACTTTAGGTTATCACTCTACTTAGTGTATTGAGCACTTTAAGTCGTTGTCTTTTTACACTTTTTACTCGTTTTGTTTTTTTCTTCTTTGGACTTGGAGCTTAAACACTTAACGATTGTTTTCGCCTTGTTTTAATGTTCTTGCTTCTTTCTTTTTTATTTCCCATTTTTCCTCGAGTACCGATTTGTTCGGCTGCAGAGCTATTCGAGGTTTTTACAAACGAGTACTAGCATTTACATATATATATATATATATATATATATATATTTAATTAAAACAGATGACCTTAAGGGTCCATTGATTATATTTTATTTTCCCAAGAAAGGGATTTTTCCTGGTTTCTCAGCATTTCCAAGCATAAAAGAAAATGCTTTAAAAATTTACATATTATTTTTATACAAGTTTTTGAGGGGTAGTTTTAAGTTCATGTAAGGTGATAGAGAGAGGGTGAGGAGGAGCACGATAGTTAGGATTGAAATTAGAGAGAGGAGGGAAAGATAGGAATATGTTTAAATCTCTCTTTATTAAGATATTTAAGAGTGGAAGGGCAAGGTGCCAGACATTTGACTTATCTAATAAGTCCTTTCACAAGAAAAGTTAAAGAAAAAAGACAAAGGGAAAAGTGAAGAAAAGAGATAAGATATAAAAGAAAACAAATCCTTATGCATAACTATATATATATATATATATATATATATATATATATATATACTCCCTCTCTCGACTTTCCCGTCGAATTCGACGTATGAGAGTCAAGCAGATCAGTTCCCAGGAAACCGACAGCCCGACAACAGCACATGAGTTTTGATTATAGTGGTGAAGGTTTCGTGCAGGACCATCCACACTTTTTGAAGGTCTGAATACAGAGACCTGGTGCACTAAGTGCCACAAGATCCCCAAATGACCCTCAACAGGTTTTGAATTCAGAGTTTTCCTTCTCCTAGACCAGATGCCATACAAGGCTATAGAACCCAGTCTGTTCTGCTATATACCCATAGCTGGAGGGAGAAGAAGAGGATTCACACCTTTCCCAAGGGTATTAGCACGTAAGTGAATGTAATGGATTCGACTGGAATTCGAACTCGGCTCATTTATATATATATCTATATATAAATGATAGAAGCCGGTTCAAGCAGGGATATATATAGAAATGATAGAAATTAAGGATGATTTGAGATAATTAAGTAATTCATCGATTCTAGAAGAAACCTCAACAGAATGAAGAAAGCACTGGACGGCCGTTTCTTCCTAAATTTGAGACTTATCAGCAGTGCGCATCCACTACCGGGAATTTCTGTATTCTGTTGAGGTTTCTTCTAGACTCGATGAATTATTTAATATATATATATATATATATATATATATATATGTAAGCAAATATATGGATATAAATCCGACAGTATGAAAGAAAAATACAGAAAAAACAAAAATCTGAATATGCATTTATGTCGTGTTAATGTTAAAATAAAGTCGACGTCGGAAGAGATTTCTTGAATTGTTTATAACAATTTTTCGATCGACTTTTTAATATTTTAATTTTGGAAATCATCTTCGAATACGTTTTAACAACATCGCCCACGTGACGACTACGTGATCATATTTAAACAGAACGCTGATCTGTATAAAATTTCAGTTATCTGTGTGAATTATTTGGGCTCTTATGTCCATCGTCTTTTATGTTAAATTTTATAAGTTATAATGTTAATTATGTTTAAATGAAAAGTCCATGATGATGGTCTAAAATAGACCGAAACGTCCGACGTCGACTTTATTTTAACATTAACACGACATAAATGCATATTCAGATTTTTGTTTTTCTGTATTTTTTTTTTTCATATATATATATATATATATATATATATATATATATATATATATATATATATATATAAATATTTTGTTTAATTTTTTTATATTCATGGGAGAGGATTCATTGAGTAAAAAAAATGAGGATAAGAACAAAAAATCAGAATAAAATAATAAAAACTGAGAAAAGAATTGTTGGCATATCACTAACTGTAAAGACGATTATGAAATTCTTCTGATTCTGGAACAGGTAAAACGACCGATTCCTTTGTTATCAGAAGATGCTGAACAAAACGCATTCCCACTAAGCAGATTTAACCTCCTTGTCTGAGTAAAAGAGAACAGGCAAAATTGTGAAACCGGATCTCATCGCTGAGTCAAAAAAATCATATATATTCCTCTCCTCTATCATCGAGTTATGTAAATGCTCCGGGGGCACCTCGAGGTGGAGTAATGGTTAGCAAGCTTGTATCGCTAGAACAATTACGACTGAGTAGTTAGTTCGATTCTCACTGGGAGCCCCTTACTTTCGACCTTGTGCCACATCTAAGCTAAGCTTAAAAAAATAAATCCCTCCTTGGAAGGATTTTCAACGCAGGCTTATTATCTCTCATTTGCGTTTCTGTCTTTGGACAGAGTGCGCTCAGGGGCTTTTCGATCAAAGGACAGAGGGGCAAATGAGAAAATTATACTGAAGAGGTGCCCAGTCCCGGGGAACAGTTGCCCGAGGCCGCACCCTCCCATTGCACCAGAGGGAGGTATCGGTGCTCGCACCGAGGCCAGCGCAACCGACGGTTGTGGGGTCTGTGGGCAATTTTTTCCCTTGTCCGGGTGTACGCGCTCGGGTCCCCACTTGAAAAAGACCTTGTGTCACATCTCGTCCTCGTGGGGGAACGAGTAAACACCATAAATGCTCCGTTCTTACGGTCACATCACAGAAACACCGGTTTCCGTTAAAATTTTCGAAGTTAAGCAACATCAGGCCTGGTAAGTACCTAGATGGGTGAAAATATTAGGTGCTGTAAGCTTGTAAGTATCAATGACATATCTGATCTGTAGATGCTCAGTTTTCACTTCGCAAACTTTATAGAGTTCTGCTGAAACACAGCTACCCGTACGATCACTAAAGTTAAACAACGTCGAGCCTCGTCAGTACGTAGATAGGTGACCACTTGAGAATATCAGGTGCTGGAAGACTTGGATGTGAGGATGGTGTAATGGATAATAGCGCGAAATTGTTAATCACTGAGCCGAGTTCCAATTCGCTTTGGATTCGTTATATCCACTTACGCGTAAATAACTTTGGGTAAAGGCATGAATCCACATCTTGTCGTCCGAGCTATTAATTCGTTTGACTGAAAATATTGTTTTTTCTTTCCCAAAAAACAAAATAAATAAATAAATTTAAAATAATAATAGATGAAATGGCATAAGATTGCGTCTAAAATATTTAGATTTCGGACCTAAATAACCCATAGACGTTGATATGCCGAAAATACAACCAACAAATACCGAGGAACCCACCCTAAATATTCATCCCAGAAACACACACACACACACACACACACACACACACACACACACACACACACACACATATATATATATATACAGGGTGTTTCAAAAAATTTGATATCATTTGAGATATAAATATCACAGAAAGTACATGATTAAGTCAAATGAAATTAAAAAGTATTAATGTTGATGTTCATAAGATTTATTCTTCCAAATCTAAATGAGAAATTCAAAAACATGTGGATTATGTGAACGATTTCACAAATGTGAAGTTTGTGGTCGTCCGGATCCTTTTGCTCTGCACAGACAGCCTTCCTCTTTGAACTTTTTATGCCATCTCCGAATCTGCATTCCTGTTGGTGACTTTCTAGAGAACTCTCTCATAAATGCACGCTGCACAGTCTTGTTTGACTGTGTTCTAGCAAACTCCAACACACAAAACGCCTTTTCTCTTCTAGTTAATAGCATTTTTATACCTGTAAAGAAAAAGATTAAAGATTAAAGAACATAAAAATACAAATAAGAAAAAACACAAAAACATAAAGACATAAAACAAACATTAAACATAAAGGAAATAAATAAAATCACTGTTTTGATAGATGGTTATTTAAATACTAATACTGGGAAATAGTCCCAGCTGAGAATTTTTGGCATCCATTTCGTATATCTCGATATGGAGATTGTAACTGTGATAATAATAATAATAGTCATACAATTACTACTACTACTAATAATAATGATAATAATATAATAATGATAATAATAATAATGATAACAACAATAATAATGATGATAATTATAATAATAACAGCAATGACAATAATAATGACGATGAAGCAGGATGGTTGTAGTGGCGCAGGAAGTCACGTTTGTTGGCGAATTGCTTCTCGAAGTCTACACAGAGCAATATGGCGGCCAAATGAGCGGGAAAGACGAGAACAGCAAATTGTCTCAAGATGGTGCCATTTCCCTTTCGCAATGCCGAGAGAAATGCGCCGTACTTTGTCGTACGCACCACTGGCCAAAACAGCCATAAACAATTTTAATCAACTGATGAATGAACGACGGTTCCGGTGTCGATTGCTTCTGGAAGATGGAAGCCATTAGAAATAATCTAGAATTAGAATTTGAACGAGGATAATTTAAACTAATGGAATCGACAAGAGTTAAAAACGAGACGTGGAGAGCCGTTTTTTTCATTTTTTGATGTTGTGTTCATTTAATGTTAACGTTCATTTTTTTGTTTTTATTAGTCCATCCATTTGGGTAACAGGAAAAAAAAAAAAATTCGGATGATGATATAAAAAGGTGGAGAATGCTATGGCCGAATGAAATCTCGCGATTTCTCGTCCCACGTCGTTGCATTGAAACGATTGCTACTCTGACCTCGTCCCTGTATAATGGGATTATATTAGAGGCTGGCAGCTGATCCCATCTGGCAAAAATATTACTTTACAAACCGACCATATCAAAGAAAGTCGTTCAGGTTCAAGCCTTGCTAGTGCCATATTAACCTTAAGGAATTCTTTCATGCTGATTAGAAGGAATTTTGTTGTTGTTGTTGTTGTTATTTTAGTTTTTACATAATCATCTAGAAATTCAACAGATCTTTAGATTCATTATGGAATCTGAAAAAATAATTTTTAAACATGCATCAGGAAGATCATAATATACATAAAGGTTAGCGAAAAACGTATACGAACATTTGATAATTGCGACAGAATCGACTACATCGAGCAAAACCCTCCTGAAAATACTCGTACTGGCACATAAGACACTTATTCAATTATCTCTTAATTCTATTGCAAACAAATATTTCAGGATCGCTGTCAGCTGCTTTGATGGTTTTTCTCTACTCGCATCGACGGGAAGGTAAAAGGAAAATCACATAAAACTCGACTGTAATTAGGAAGACGATCAATACACCACGGTGTCCTTGGTATGACGATAAACTATATCTGGCAGCAAAGCCTCAGATTGAGAGGTTAAAGAGTGTGGAACCAAATCCTAATTGTTGTTCCCAAGTCCACGCTGACCCGGATGATCAATACTCCACGGCGTCCTGGGTATAACGATAAACTATATCCGGCAGCAAAGCTTCAGATTGGGAGGTTAGAGTAGCGTGGAACCACCTAATAATTGTTGTTTTTCCCAGGTTCACGCTGACCCGGAGTGGTAGAACCTATTAGGGTCCAAGTTATGGACAAATAATTAACCTCCAATTAAATTTCTGGATTAAATGACCCATAAGGGTGTTGATATGCCGTTAAAGAAACAAATCAAATCAAGACTGCCAAGAAAATTAAATTTCTGCATTATATGACCCATAAGGATGTTGATATGCCGTTAAACAAACAAATCAAATCAAGACTCCTAAGAAAATTAAATTTCTGCATTAAATGACCCATAAGGAGTTGATATGCCGCTAAATAACAAACAAACGGTACTCGTTGATAACGCGAGGTTTTACCAAAATATTCCTGTTCGGGACGTGAAGTATCTATTACATAAACGCGTCTTTTGTTACAGAAGCTCACTCAATGGCCTTTGATTGTCGACTGAGTAACCCAGCAGAAGAGTGTCTGTTTTCTAAACACTGAGTGAAGTAACCTTTTTCAAACAACAAGAAAACAACGCAACCGGTTGTAGAGTTTTCACAATGTACTACGCTGTTTGACCAAACGACTGACATGTAAATGAAAAAAAAAAAAAGAAATAACATGATTTCATTAATTTTACAAAACTACAAAATAATAATAAACGATTTATCTCCCCCTAGTATCGACTGCACAAGAAGAGCTTGTACCCGTGTATTGAATAAAGGGGTGAGAAGAAAGAATCAACAGGCATTAGGAGATATCCCATAACACGGAAAGAGAAATGCGTACAATTCAACCAAATGGCATTTTTGCAGCAATCTTTATTCAGTACAAGGCCAAAGAGCCACTCGAGTTAAATGGTTGAGAGTTACAGTTTATGGGAATATTTGGGGAAGATAACGTTTAACCCTAGCGTTGAACAGGATAAGTGATTGCAGTGATTGGGGAAGCATCCTCTTGGGAGTCCGTTTCGCAAAGCAGCAGTTGAATATAGGGATATACTTTTTTATGTGACATACCTCTTCATGTTGTGGATCATTTAGGCTTTCCACAATTTCCTCTCCTCTGAAGTTCTAAACAATTTTTCTTCACTTACTGCCAATCCCAGTTCATCCGTTAAGCAGGTTATTCGCTGTTACCTTTTGACCTTCTTGCCTTCATTGTGGCCCGCTTGTATGTTCTCTAAGCCTTCTTTCCTCATTTAAGAGATTTAAACTGTCTCTTTCTATTTTCTGATATTCATCATCATCATTCTTCGACCTCTCTATGGTTGGTCGGAACTCCATTGACAATCTCTTTCCACGCTGTTCAACCCTGTATTGTTGTCCCAGATCCACAATATCCAACCCTGAGTACCAACCTATGGTGTCTGGGGAAGTCGGTTTTCATGAGAAGACACTTCTAGGAGGATGCCATAGGAGTAAGGATGAAATTATTTCCCTGTCCACTAGGTGGCAGTTTATAATTATAATAATTTATAAGCAAATTATAATATGAAGAATCTGACACCTCCTGCTATCCTCTACACTTCATCATCATCCTTTGACCTCTCTATGGTTGGTCAGAACTCCATTGACAATCCTTTCCCTCATTGTTCAGTCCTGCATTGTTGACCCCTTGATCCCCAATGTCCAACCCTGAGTTCCGAGCTATGATGTCTGGGAAAGTCCGTTTTCATGAGAAGACACTTCCAGGAGGATGCCATTGGAGTAAGGATGAGACGATTTCCCTTTCCGCTCAGTGGCAATGGCCGGCAAAATAGAAGTGTCTTTTTTGTTTCCGCTGTCCTTAAAACGTTCTCGTTGCTCACATGTTCCACTCGTGGCAGTTTCAGTATCTTTTTGTCGAACCACGTGTCTTCTGACCGAAATCTCCAGTTAACCTATGCAGAAATCTTTCAGCATCCACTGCCATATAAGGAACATTGACACTACAAAGACTTTTAGCATTTCTTTTTTTTTTCTTTTTGCTTCCAACAGCATTTTCATTTTTCCTAATATTTTGTTTAGGTTTTTGAAGGCATCTTTAGTTATTCCATTTTTGGTACGCACTTCGGTTTCACACATTCCGTTATCTGTTGTAAGACATCGCGGACAGTTAAATCTTTATATTTCCATGAACTTGACATTTCTTGCCCCGGTAAACAACTGACTAGAGTTCATTTTTGAGAGCAGCTGCCAGTTTGCTTTTTGTTGGACATATCGGGATTACTATTAGATCCTCAGGGAGGATTTGGTTGAAATGTTATCTCCAACACCTATAATTATCAAGATGAGGACGGAAGATGGACACCTGAAGATGGCTAGAGCACAGTTAGATCTGTAATCATATTAATAATAATTCAGATGAGAACAATATATGAACGCCTAAAGATGGCAAGATGATATTTGGTCGAAACGTTGTGTCTATAATCATATTTATAACAATCAAGATGATAACAATATATGAAAACCTGAAGATGGTTAGGGGATATTTGGGCGAAACTGTGTGTCTGTAATCATATTTATAAAAATCAAGATGAGAAAAATATATGGACACCTGAAGATGACTAGAGGATACTTGGTCGAAACACTGGATCTATAAACATATTTATAATAATCTAAATGAAAGAAATAGATGGATACCTGAAGATGGCTAGATCATATTTGCTCGAAACTTTGGGCTTATAATCATATGTATAATAATCCAGATGAGAACAATATATGAACACCTGAAAATGACGGGATGATATTTGGAGAACAAACGGTATTAAGTTAAAATGTTGCCACTATATAACACCTATCACAATCCAGAGGAGAGGAGCAGACGGACACCTGAAGATGGTTAGAGGATATTTAGTTGAAATGTTGTCTCAATAATAACACCTATAATAATCCTGAGGAGAACAGTAGACGGACACCTGAAGATGGTTAGTGGATATTTGGTTGAAATGTTTTCTCAATAATAACACCTATAATAATCCTGAGGAGAACAGTAGACGGACACCTGAAGATGGTTAGAGGATATTTGGTTGAAATGTTGTCTCAATAATAACACCTATAATAATCCTGAGGAGAACAGTAGACGGACACCTGAAGATGGTTAGAGGATATTTGGTTGAAATGTTGTCTCAATAATAACACCTATAATAATCCTGAGGAGAACAGTAGACGGACACCTGAAGATGGTTAGAGGATATTTGGTTGAAATGTTGTCTCAATAATAACACCTATAATAATCCTGAGGAGAACAGTAGACGGACACCTGAAGATGGTTAGTGGATATTTGGTTGAAATGTTTTCTCAATAATAACACCTATAATAATCCTGAGGGAGAACAGTAGACGGACACCTGAAGATGGTTAGAGGATATTTGGTTGAAATGTTGTCTCAATAATAACACCTATAATAATCCTGAGGAGAACAGTAGACGGACACCTGAAGATGGTTAGAGGATATTTGGTTGAAATGTCTCAATAATAACACCTATAATAATCCTGAGGAGAACAGTAGACGGACACCTGAAGATGGTTAGAGGATATTTGGTTGAAATGTTGTCTCAATAATAACACCTATAGTAATCAAGGTGAGAACAGTAGATGGACATCTGAAGATGGTCAGAGGATATTTGGCCGAAACGTTGTGTATAGTCATATCTCTAATAAGGAAGATCAGAACAATATACTATTTTTCTAAGCGTAGCTTAGATGTGTCACAAGGAGCACTCAGTAAGGATCGAATTCACTACTCCGTCGTAATTGATCTAGCTAGGTCGCGCTTGTTAATCACCTTGAAGTGTCCAAAGAACAGAACAATATAATAATCCCTGAAGTTGCCTTAATCTATCTACTACCCTCATCCTTTCTTCTATCACTCCTATCTGATCTTGCTATTTTCTGTAACCCCTTGCGTCCTAGTGGCTTCCCGCCTTGCTTGGGGTGAAATGCTTAAAAAAAAAAAAAAAAAAAAAGACAACTAAATGATATTTGTTCGAAAATGTTTTGTTTGTAATAATGCTTACAAGAAAAAAAGATGAGGAGAATTTATCAAATAAATTAAAATATTATATATTGAGAAGAGATCCTTTTGGCATATCACTAACTGCAAAGACGATTTTGAAATTCTTGTAATTCAAGTTGTATTTTTGTTCTGAGTCCAACCAATGATTGATATCCGTCGAAGAGCAAATTTCGCTTGTGATGATCTATATATTTACTTTGTTGCGCATTCATCATATGCTGCGCAAGACAAGGCGGCAAGACGGACAGGTAAAACGACTGATTCCATTGTTATCAGAAGACGCTGAACGATGCGCATTCCCGCCATGCAAGTTTATCATCCTAGCAGAGACACCATTTTGATCTGAGTAACACGTACATCGCCTGTGGCATCTGTTTTGTCTGTATTCGCCAGACGTCATCAGCTGTTCGCTTCTGGTTTCAAAAGAAACCCGATAATATTGTTGATCGTTTCTCTTTCATCTGTTCGAAGATGGCGCACTAAGGAATTCTTCACGCTATGAAATATCAAGAAATAACCTATAGATGTGTGCACGTCTTGGTTTGCTTTTATTGGAAATGCGTGGGATTCAAGAGAGACAGAGAGAGAGAGAGAGAAAGAGAGAGAGATTGTGTGTGTGTGCGGTGTAAAATGATAGTACCCTTTAATAACTTGGGTACCATAAGTAATCCGATAAAATGACTGACTGGACGTTAGGTACAGATAAATCTAATATCGGTTAGTGCAATATTATAATCAACACCCAAATTTAGTGTCAAAGAATAAAGCTTATTTATTTTTATTTTTACTTAATCATCGTAACGTTACAAGTCCTGGCTATGACAATAAACTACACCCGCGCCCTGGGTAAGACGGTAAACTACATCCGACAGCAAGGTCTTTGATCAGGAGGTTTTGAGAAGCATGGAACCACCTCTCAATTGCTGGTGTTTCCAGGTCCACTCTGACCCGGGTTGGTAGCACCTGTCATGGTTCCAGGTATGGGCAAATTGTTAACCTGTCAAAAGTACTTTAATGAAAAAAATATTACCAGCAATACATTTCTGAAAAAAAAATGCCACCAGCAATACATTTTTCGAAAAAAATACTACCAGCAATAAAAATCTTGCCGGCATTAAATAACCCATTCAGGTTGGTATGCCGTAAAACAAAACAAACCAAACCGTAACGTTACTCGAGCGCAAGCTGAACGTTGCAAAGATATATATATATATATATATATATATATATATATATATATATGTATATATATGTGTGTGTGTGTGTGTGTGTGTAATTTTCTAGTCAGAGTCTTGCACATTTAAAAAATCTACCATTCGCCGTGCATTGAGTACAGTTGCTATATTTGGTCTGGTGGTGCTCCTACTATTTGTCTTGAGGTTCTTGCCAAAATCTAAAGAAAGATCTGCAATGTAATCGATCCTGACCTGACATCACGACTACAATCATTTTTTCATCGACGTGGCTTCCCTCTCTCTTTTCTAAAACTATTTGCATGGCAACCTCTCTTTTTTTTGTTAGATAAATGTATTGGAATTTCGGAATATGGGATTGGGTTTGTGCACTCAAAAATTGCTTCAAGTATAGGCATCTCTTGATATCATTCTTTAACATCTATTAAGAGGTATTCTCTATCAGGTTTAAAACACCACAACAAATCTACCCAGTCACGGTCAGTCTAGCGATGGCACAAGGCGAAATCGAGTCACAGCCATCATATATATATATATATATATATATATATATATATATATATATATATATACCCTTTAAGTACAAATTGAATTCCACCAGACGCTGGCGTATTTTGTATAGAGAAAGACCTGAAAATTCCCTTCGTTTCTGTCGTAGCAGGTAAGATCCCGTCTTGAAGCAATCGCATCTAGCCACACTGAGGGGCTGTGATACAGCGAAACAGTCTGTGAATGACTATATATATATATATATATATATATATATATATATATATATATATATATATTTGAAACAAAATTTTAAATATATATTTCATTCACAAATTGGCTTTTTATATTCAAGGAAAGTTTTACAAATAGATGCCAACTTGTTGAAGGCCAAGTCTTGCTTTGAGTGAAATTATTAATATATATATATATATATATATATATATATATATATATATATATATATATTCTGTTTATACGTTACTTTTATAGATACAATTTATTTAAGTAAATGTCCGTTTTTAATTAAACAGTATTAATTACATTTATCGGCTTGAATGTTCGAGAAATTTCGTAGAATATACGCGTTCTCCGACAGATATCTAATATTTAACCCATATAATGTATGAAATTTCTCGAACATTCAGACGAATAAATCTAATTAATAGCGCGCTAATATAGCTGACAATTAGTTTATATGATATCTGCGACTCGATTTCGGCCGGTGTCATCACTTGATTCATCTCCGAATCTTTTCAGTTTTGCTAGGGTCTTACATTCTCTTGCACTGATGAGGCAATGTTGGGCAGTAGCTTTTATATTAATACTATGGCATACTTTTCAGATGTCGTTTCAGTCATAGTTGTTTTTTTCTCTCCATTCCCAGTCTATCTTCTTTACATATTTGTTATTATATCTTTCTATATTTGTTTTTCATATCTATCTATCTATCTATCTATCTATCTATCTATCTATCTCTAGTATGGTCAACAATCTGAACAACGCCAGCACTCTCAAATCCTCGCTCACGATGACTTGGGACTTCGTGCTAGCACAGCTATCGACACCCCCAACAAGTGTTCCGTCTATCCAATTTCACTGACAAGGATTGGGTCAGCACATGGCATGGTTTTCAGGCATTTTACGAAGTTGCCGCACACTGGGGTCGTCCGCCTCAAGTCCAATAACGTCAAGAAGTCTCCTTCCTGTCAAATCAACCGTGGTGAGATTCGAACCCGGGTCTCACGGTTAGAAAGCGAACTTTCTGACCACTCGGCCATGCTTTCTCCCAGTAACTGTAATTAAGGTCTGCTCAGCATATTTGCAGTATAAACCACAAGTTGACTCTGTGGGTGTTGAACAAACACAATTATGCCTGAGTGAGCGTTTTCAATAAGGATTGGCTAGCCGCCTTATTATACAGGTATCCTCGAATACGAGTGGCCAGCTATCTATCTATCTATCTATCTATCTATCTATCTATCTATCTATCTGTTGAAACTTGACTAATGCATGGAATAATAATGCAACACAAAAGGTACTTAGATAACAAAATGTATTGAAACAAGAAAGTGTACACAATATTTACATATAGTCTTTTGTATATTCCTGGTAACCCGTTCCTGGAGAATGAGTTGACTGAGTCGCAGTCGGGCAGAGTCTCTGGTTGAATCTCTTGATTCCTCCCTCTCTTCCCGGTACCAACCATATTTATATGGTCGGTACTCCACTATGCAAATTAGGTGGATCCTACCACAACACTATCCCAATCTGTCCGTATCTATCTATCTATCTATCTATCTATCTATCTATCTATCTATCTATCTATCTATCTATCGATTCCAATCTGTCCGTATCTATCTATCTATCTATCTATCTATCTATCTATCTATGTACGTTCCTTTCCCATATCTCTTTCATATTTTCGTCCTGGGTATGACTATAAACAACATCCATCATCGAAACCTCTGATCAGAAGGTTTTCAGGAGCATGGAACCACCTGTTATTTGCTGTTGCTCTCGGGTCTACCCTGACCCCAGGTGGAAGCACTTGTTAGTCTCCCAACTATAAACAGTGACCCCACAAACTGTGTTAAAAGAAATAAAAGTATAGATTTAGAAAAAAAAATAAAAGAATTACTAGCAATAGATTTTTGTAAAAGTAAAATATTACTCAAGCTTCCAAGAGAATTAAATTTCGGCATTAAATGACCCATGAGGATGTTGATATGCCATTAAACCAAAACAAGTAAACACACAAACGTTCATAGTCTACACACAGACTGTAGTTTATTTATTTATCTCTTTCGCTTTCTTTCTCTATAAACAAATAATTCTGCACTATATATAGGAACATTATTAATGTGGTATTTTAACTGCTATATCTGTGACAGTAAATCACCACGGCGGGCCCCGTGCAAACTTAATCAGTGATGTAATTTCCATTCTCTAATGCACACACCATACAGGCAATGTGCAAACTCTGTTCCACCGGCGATAACAGCCGTTTCTATCTGTTTTTGTGCGCTGAAACCAGATATCATTCCCCGTACAAGCTATGAAATCTGGAAAATGGAGGATACGGATTTCGACCTGGATCTAAATCCTCATTTTCTAATGCCTCTGCGGAGAGGTCTGGCATTATGGTCATGCACTTATGTTATTTCACGGCTCTTATGGATGACCTTGTAAAAAGAACCCACAGGACATATCCTCTCTCTGTTCACCATGAATTTCATTTTTTTTTTATTCTATCGTTCTCTTTCGTTCGGAAAACTGGACCCTGTTAGGTTTGATTATAAGGATAAAAAGAAATTTTTTTTTTTTTTTTGGCCAAATACTGCCGTTGTATTTGTGTTCTGGTGGAGAATGGTTTGCCCAAGAGTTAGCTTCGACTCTCATGGAGATGGGGGGTTCATGCCTTTCTTAAGAGTATTAATGGTATTTAAAGATAAAAAGAAAACCCAGTCAGAATTCAAAAACGGTTCACTGATTCCATTTTGCTGTGTTTATAATCGTAGTCAAACACCTTTCTCTTTGTCTGTCTGTCTGTCTCTCCCTCTCGCTCTTCACGTAAGCAGACACCTACATGCGGACAAATACACATACACATATATGTATGTATGTGTGTGTATGTGTGTGTATATATATATATATATATACACACACACATATATATATATCCACACACAGACAAATACACACACACCTACACATATATGTATGCGTGTATATATATATATATATATATATATAGTTAAGTTACGAAAAACTTGGTAATACGTATGCGTAGGCCCGAGGAGGATGAAATCCTGAGAGCTCAATGTAAATCCAGAGCTAAAACTTTAAAGAAAAACCGACCAGTTTAAGGCTCCATTGTAATAGTTTATTTCACCAGAGACCTTTTGGAAGTGATGCCTGATGATCCAGGGTACTTTAAAAGGTCTCTGGTGAAATAAACTATTACAATGGAGCCGTCTGTTTTTCTTTCTTTCTCTCTCTCTCTCTCTCTATATATATATATATATATATATTGTTTTTATGTCCACCGTTTTCGTCGTGTTATATTGATTATGTTAATTGTATTTTTAATGAATATTGTCCTGAAGAAGGTTATTAAACCGAAACGTCAGACGTCGACATTTCATTCATATTAAAACAACATAATCGCATTTTAAGGATTTTTGTTTTGTTTTTCCAGATATTTTCTTCATATATATATATATATATATATATATATATATATATATATATATATATATATATATATATATTTAAAATTTACTACATATTTGTTCAACATCAGTGGTACGGCATTTGTAGAAATCCATTTTTTAACTGCAGTTATACGCCTTAAAAGATTACACACACACACACACACACACACACACACACACACACATATATATATATATGTGTGTGTGTGTGTAAAGAAATATAGTCTTGAGGCGTGCTATATTTATGGGATAAAGTGCTCAATATCAGAGATAGAGTGTGTAAATATAAAAGTGAACATAGAAGTCAAAACTTAGAGGCGACAGTCTGTTTCATGCTAGATGCAATCGTCAGCCCACCTGACATATATATATATATATATATATATATATATATATATATATATATATATATATATATATATATGTATATGTATATATACACTAGCTTAAAATCCGACCTATCGGACGGTATTTAGGCTAGCTCCTGCGAAGAGCACTTGATTGGGCCTTCGGCTTGTTTATGAGTTTGAGAGTCTCTAAGTCTTTATATATTCTCAATATTGGAAATTCTTCTGGCTGCCGTTTGATGTGGGTTTTCATTTGCACGTGACTCTTTTTCCTCTCTAGTCTTGGCTTTCTTGATTGCAATATGGTCCTGAGTTGGCTGACATTCTTCTTTCATTTCAGTATTCCATTAATATTTAAGCTTACCTTTTAAAAGTTCGACGATAATTCTTCTGCCGACAGTTAATTTAAAGAAAATTTGATGTACGTAGGTCCTTAATTTTCTTACAAACAATTAATTTCATTACATGGGTGACTTTCGATGGATTTAGCAATTAATTTCGATTATTCTCAAATTTATTTGTAAATACGGAAAATATCGCCGAAATCAATCGCAATAATGAAAACTTGGGAATCCAAATTTTTTGTAACATGAGCTATTGAAAGTTAGAGTGTTCTTCCCCTTGAATTGAAAAAGTGTGACATAGTGAAACACTCACGGTAGCCTCATATATATATTCATTTCTGTAGTTTATTGCTACCAGCAAGCAGAAATATTTCTCCTCACGATGATGGCCATTTTGGTAGAAACTAGTCGAGGAATCTAAAAGAAATAATAATAAAAAAACGAAAGAATATTAATCTACAACCCAGTGTGTCTGAAGATCTTAATTTTTTAATATTTTTTTATTGTTCAAAATATATATATATGCTTCATCTTCTGTGAAGATTTTAAAATATTTTCATAATAAAAATCTTAGGCGGATTTATGAGGCAGGCATAATATCTATCTCACGCACGGTGAACACTAGACCTGGCTTCTTTAATATTTCCCCTTTTCTAGCAAGATTAATGCTCGACAAACGTACATATAAGTTTTAGATCAAAATAAAATTATTTTCGTTTTTCATTCAAAATACTCAAAATTTAGGAATACGTTTTCACAACATCGCCCACGTGACGACGACGTGATCATATTTAAACGGAACGCTGATCTTATAAAAGATTTCAGTTATCTGTTTGGATTGGTATTGATTTTATGTCCATCGTCTTTTTCATGTTGAATTGTATATGGTCTATGTTAATTATGTCTTATGAATATGTCCTGAAGATGGTCTATTAGACCGAAACGTCCGACGTTGACATTATATTAATATTAAAACAGCATAATTGCATATTAGGATTCTTGTTTGATTTTTCCGTATATTTTTCTTCATACAGTCGGATCTATATCCATATATTTGCTTATATATATATATATATATATATATATATATATATATATATATATATATATATATATATATATATATATTTCATGTCGACTAGGGCATATAGGTAATCATTCATAGGGTTTATAAAGAAGAAGAAATAACCTTAGCATTACGAGTGTGGTACTTGAGTTCGAATCTCAAAATGTACGATACCTCAAAACGTCTTGTAGATTATATTAGCCTGGGGGGGGACATTACTGATTAATGATTAGAAAATGCCTGAAAAGTATACAGCTATGTTGACATTTAACCTGTAGGCGTTCCTACCAGGGTTCGAATATCACCATATTCGATTCAGTCAAGAATCTCATTTCTTCATAACGTAATCCTGGGGAGACGATATCAGTGTGGAGCACTGTTGGAAATTGCCAGCAACACGATACCACAGGTGCCTGAGTCTTGTGAATGAATTTAGGTAGATGAACCAGTTTAGAATGCTATAGAGATAACCAGTCGGCCACGCGCCTATATCCCAGCGCAGGAATTAAATAGATTTATAAAAAAAGTGCTGAGATTTCCGGAAAGGAGCACCATTGGGAGTACAATTATTCACACTGAACTGAAGAAAAGAGAGTACCTGGGGCGAACTTGAGTACAAATATAAGTTCCAGACAAGGAGCTTCAAAAGAGAGCAGAAATATTTACCATCGCTGGAGAAAACTGAGGATCTAGTGTGAGGTCCAGTTCGAATAGATTTTTCGGGCTAGGAGCACCATGGAGAGTACAATCATTCGTCAAGGGTGAAGAAAACAGAGGCTCTAGGGTGAGCTTGATTCCCAATAGCCGTTTGAGTCATGGAGCAACATTGAGTGTACAATCATTCGTCAAGGGTGAAGAAAACAGAGGCTCTGGGCTGAGCTTGCTTCCCAGAAGCCGTTCGAGTCCTGGAGCACCATGGAGAGTACAATCATTCGTCAAGGGTGAAGAAAACAGAGGCTCTGGGGTGAGCTTGCTTCCCAGTAGCCGTTCGAGTCCTAGACCACCATGGAGAGTACAATCATTCGTCAAGGGTGAAGAAAACAGAGACTCTGGGGTGAGCTTGATTCCCAAGAGCCGTTTGAGAAATGGAGCACCATTGAGTGTACAATCATTCGTCAAGAGTGAAGAAAACAGAGACTCTGGGGTGAGCTTGATTCCCCGTAGCCGTTTGAGTCATGGAGCACCATTGAGTGTACAATCATTCGTCAAGGGTGAAGAAAACAGAGGCTCTGGGTAAGCTTGCTTCCCAGTAACCGTTCGAGTCATGGAGCACCATGGAGAGTACAATAATTCATCAAGGGTGAAGAAAACAGAGGCTCTAGGGTGAGCTTGATTCCCAGTAGCCGTTTGAGTCATGGAGCACCATTGAGTGTACAATCATTCGTCAAGGGTGAAGAAATCAGAGGCTCTAGGGTGAGCTTGCTTCCCAGTAGCCGTTTGAGTCATGGAGCACCATTGAG